TATACCATAAAAGCAGAGAACCTTCTCAATACATGGGAGAGGAAAATCCTAGAACAAATATACGGCCCAGTGATGGAAAATTATGAATCCATAAAAACCAAGAACTATACCAATTGTACAAAGACCCACCCAAAGTCACAACAATAGATGAAAAAGGCCTACTGCGCTGGGAAGGACATATTGAAAGGATGCCAAACTGTAGAGCAGCAAAAGTGATATATCGGGTACAGGCAGAAACCTTGGGGCAGACGACTCAATGGTCGCCCAAGGCTAAAAGGATTAACACCAGTTGGGTGTTCGCGCATTGAGGCGGAAAGCCATGGATCGTTCCGAATGGAAGGTTGTGGTGGAGCAGGCCAGGGCCCTACGTCGGCAGTAACGACACTGATGATGTTGTGGTATCCCGATCCCGAGCCTGGTTGGATCCCGTAACCGGTGGGTTCACGGTCCTGGTAGGACCGAATTTCAAGATAGGATCCAAATCCCGATGGGATCCCGATCCCATTAGTATCCCGATCCCATTAGTATCCCGATCCCATTAGTATCCCGATCCCGTTAGGATAACTATACCGGGGAACCCGGATCCCATCGATATTTCCGATCCATCAAACCTTGTGCTAACTGATGTGGAACAAAGAAACCAACAAGCAACACATTTTCACTTTATAAAATATATATATATGTGTGTGTGTATATATATCTATATAAATATATATTTATATATATATATATATATATGACGTATTAGATTCCATCACAAAAACCATATACATTACTCTGGCTTCACTCCACGTTTTAGACATTCTGTAGAGCACAAAGCAAATGCCATCTACCATTTTCCCATCTTTACAATGCAGACTATTGAATTGCGCCACCACACCTTTGAATTAGAAATAGGATGGGCAGAGGTCATAATTTAGTTCATGCTGAATTTAACTGTGGTTAAGACGTGGGTGAATAATACTTGTAGGGTCTTCATGTGTTATAGTTTGGCTATTAACTGTGGCCATGACAATGACATGTTTAAATAATACATAGGATGGACGTAGGTCATAGTTTAGATCATGCTGATATTAACTGACATGGCTGAATAGTTCAAGACTTAACTATAGGTGGACCTGTGGTTGGATGCAACTCGATAATAAAAGCCAGGCCAAAAAAAAAAAAAGACGTTTTTCCATGTCATAACATTGTCCTTACAATAATTAGGGGTCCTGTATTGTACATTCTTCTTATATGAACGACAACTTGGCCTTTTTATTTCACAATGTTTAAATAATAAATAGGATGGACGTAGGTCATAGTTTAGATCATGCTGATATTAACTGACATGGCTGAATAGTTCAAGACTTAACTATAGGTGGACCTGTGGTTGGATACAACTCGATAATAAAAGCCAGGCCAAAAAAAAAAAAAAAGACGTTTTTCCATGTCATAACATTGTCCTTACAATAATTAGAGGTCCTGTATTGTACATTCTTCTTATATGAACGACAACTTGGCCTTTTTATTTCACACATTATATAATCATTAAATAACTATCGTTAAATAACAAGTGCTAAAACTTATATTGATACTTCCATCATTGTGAAACCTCGTCCACTTTCAAAAAGTCCCTTAAAACCCATCTGTTTAGGTCCGCCTATGACCTGTTATGCACCCTCCTCGCCCTGCCCCATTTTCTGTCTCGGGTTGATCCTGTAGTATAGGCAAAACGTGCCAAAGTGTCCTCGTTTTATAGCCATTTTAATTGTTTCTATAGTATAGTAGTTACTATCCTAGTGTCTCATTTTTATTTTACTTAGTTTACATGTTTTTAATAATTGTAAAGCGCTTAGAGCTTTAAGGTAAGCGCTATATAAAAATGCCTAAATAAATAAATTGAACAGGCTTTCCATTTCCTGCCGTCTACATTTCTATACAAGCTAAATTTGTAAGTCTCTGTATTTTGCTGTCAAACGAAGGCCTCTTAGCCCAAGCTATATCGTATTGTTCTTTAGACTTTCTCTACCACGATTAGAATATCTCGGCAAATGTTGTTTTCGCCGAACCGACATTGGCCGTATATTTCGTATTGTTTTTTAACCTGTAATGCAGATAGCTGATACCGTGATCAACAGACGTGAAAACGTAGCCTCCACCCAACAGACCATGACACTGTGGTTTGTTCTAAGAGACCATTCAAACCTAGGTATAATTGGCTTGTTCTTTGAAACTCTAAGGCTACCACTTAAAGGCAATCTACATAATATGTAGATCTATATTATAGATATTTAACTACGTCTATAAGTTCCGTTTCGTAGCACCGTTCAACGCGGTTGCAGGCCAGTGCAATCGGTCCTGTGATAAACTTGAATGAAAGACAGATGTAAATAGTAATATTTTTTAAACACACTTAAGAACTTAGGTCAGCGGTTCTCAACCTTAGGGTTGCGACCCCTTTGGGGGTCGAACGACCCTTTCCCAGGGATCGCCTAAAACCATCGGAACACAATAATATACACTCTACAGTTATGAAGTAGCAATGAAAATAATTTTGTGGCTGGGGGAACTGTATTAAAGGGTCGCGGCATTAGAAAGGTTGAGAACCACTGACTTAGGTGATCAATTCTACACTGGGACTTAATTGTGAGCAGTTTTTTTTTTTTTTTTTTTTTTAATACCAGGTTGAATTTTGAGGAAATACCTTGCGTGGGTTAAAAAAAAAAGGTAACTACTCATTTTCTATTATACAACGCAATATTATAC